AATGTTTCATATTAAAAACTGCATCCGGGCAAAACATATATAAACTGCATGTCCGGAGAGCATACTCTCAAAACATTTGTTGCTATTTCATTTTTCCTCTTTCTATACCTTGGTTTGTCCAATTCTGGTACACGCACCTTAATATATGTTCCATCTAGTGCTCCTAAGCAATTCTATATTATAATAGACAACTAAATTAATAATGTGTTAAAATATAAAAAAAAACTTTTAATAAAAATTGTAATAATGCAACAAAATTACACACCTTAAACCACTTCCACTTTGGGTCCGTTGAGTTCTCAAGGATAGGCTCGGGTGTTTACCAAAAATCCTTTTGGCATCGAATCATTGCTTTCAAACACTCATGAAAATATTTACTAATTGTTCGACTGGACCTACTAAAGTTGTACTTGATTGTGCGATTCTTAATATGGTGTGCAAGAATATGTAAAAACATTGCAATCATCTCCTCTACAGACACATTTCGAGTCAGTCGTAGTTGTCCTCTAGTGACAAGAATTTGACATAATTTATGAAATGATTGTCTATCCATCCGTAGTTGGGCAATACATGTCACATCACTCTCATAAATTAGGCTATATAGGTAATCTAATTGCTTATAGACTCTTATAACTGATTGTGAGGGACCTCTAAGGTGTTTTTGGAAACGAAACCAAGCATAGAAATAAGCAGCAGCACACGCAACAAATATGGTTCGAAGGTAGACAATCAATGCATTTAATGTAGCATATAATTTCTTCTTTGTGGACAAACTTAGACGAGCCACTTGTCTACATCACATAACAGGAGAAAAAAATGTCATAAAGGACATCAATTTCCAAGTAAATAAAGAAATAATAAAGAAAAAAAAACTCAATCAAATTATAAGACTAGAAAACAATGAAAAAGAACAAAATGTATACACCAATTAATATTATGATATGCAATTTGATAAGTGGCAGTTAGTACCAAATCAACATCATTATTGTAGAAAGAACTAATAAATTTGTCATATACTTCATCTCCTACCAGTCACAGAATGAAACCAAATAGATAAGAAAATGCATGTAAATCTATTACATCACACCACCTACAAAATTATATTCCTAATTATTAACTGACAAAGATAAGAACTGTTTGAGTACTTACATTCTCTTACTTTGACTAAATGCATATTAACAAGGCGTATTATGATATAGGAAAGATAAGTCTCTTTGATAAACTAATTATTTTTCCCATAAAAGCTTGTAAAACTCCGACTAGGACCCAAGAACAAGTTTAAAAATAATAATAATAAAAAAAAAGAGCTCAGCACAAAAAAGAAAAAAAAAACCCAAACCTAAAACCCAAAAACCAAACCCCTAGCTCCTACTCCACAATGGCGAACTTATCATGGAATCCTTACTGAACCACAGAAATTCATCATCTACATATTATATTAATATTACCACAAAAATGCAGAGGAAAAACAAAAGAAAAAAAACCAAAGAAAAATAGGAAAATGAATACAAAATAATAATATTCAAGAAATACTAAGAAGAAGAACTAGAAAACTTGTAAGAAAGAAATCTTACCCGAGAATTCTTGAGCACGAAGAGGTGGTAGCTGGGAGAAGATGGAGGCAACTCAGAAAAAGAGAAGAAGGGATTTTTTGACAAAACGTAGTAGGTTTTGTTAGGTAATGAAGAGAGTGGCAAATTTGGAATTTTGAAAAGTGTGTGAGGATATAATGGGTAGAAAAAAACTAATTCCTGATAGGTTGGTTCTCCCTGAAATAGAATAGCACCTTCCATTTAGGAATTGAATTCCTCCAAAATTAGGAATTCAATTCCTAATTTTGTGTGGGCCTCATTTACTTTTCAATTCCTTGATGTGAAGTAAACGCAGGAATTCTCAAAAGTGGAATTCAATTCCTTATTAGTAAACACACCATTAATGAAATCCTTCCAAATATATGAGTCTTTGAATACACCTAGATTTTATTCAACTTTTTTATAATCCTAATTGAACACACCCATATTTGTATGGACTTTTTAAAAGTTCATACAAGTCTAAATTGAATACACCCAGACTTGTAAAACCTATTTTAAAGTTTGTATAAATCCAAACTGAATACACCCCCCCC